TTGTTGATTCACAATGGATTGACTCTGTTCACTCCCCGGCCGAGACTACCTGGAGAATTGTAAAACACACCGCTGAAAAATACACGAGTACCTGTCCGGAAAGTCTACTCCCCACCACCATTATCAATGACTCGCCATCCACTTCCATCCGATCCACAACAAAACACCTTGCATATGTGTAGCCCGTCCGCCCCTCCTCCCATCCTCCTGGCCCGGATCTCCTACCACGATCGCGGGCCTCCACCACATGGTGGCCGCGCTCGTGTGAGTGCGACGCGATGCTTTACCTGCGCAAGTGAAAGAAATGCCATAAATAAAAACATAGAGTGACTTTTTGCCATCAATCGCTACTTCCCTTCCACATTACTCAGGATTGGGTAGGAGAAAAAAGAGGTAAGAATGTCTTCTATGCCAACTCCTGGTAAACTGTGCTCTCTTCGCAGCACAGCACACGGAAAAAGCGCCACTGAGCATGTTGCACTTCTCCAGACACCCGAAATTTCTATTCAAAATCACATCTTCAATCAATCAAAAACGACTCCTGAATGCTAAATCCTACTTTAAACTTAGGCTAATTCAATTAAATCATGGAGTTAGATTAGTTCTTTCTGCATTTCACAGATTTAGAATCTATTCTATGCCACTTATTTTCAGAAAAAGGATTGATTGTGTGATCGCACGGTTTTAAAACAACTTACTGGAAATGCCCAGCGAACACATTGACCTAAAATCAGGATGTTTTTCAGCTGATTTACTGATTTAAAAGTGCTCACAATCCAGCAGTCCTATATATGACAAAGCGCTCAGACAATTTATAAAACTGTGGACAAAACATGCTCATACAGGCGCTCATATATGACCATAAAATTTAGCAGATTTATCATCTCTCTAGAACACAATTTTAATAATTTTTTCATCACTTTCGTCCACTTCCTGCACAGTATTTAGCAGATAAAAGCATTTTTCTCAGTACATTCAATGAACATTCCTTTAACTGTGTCTTATAGTTCTTCGGGTGACATAAAAAACATGTTGAAAGGCCGAAAAGAGGCCTAAGAGTACATAATGTCATAAAAATTCATTAACTCTAAGAGAATTTGCGTTCCGCAATTTGTATAATTTGCTCATGTGTTGTTTTAACGCACTATATATTTGACTGTCACGCATTTTTATCATGCGATATTTATGATCTTGACTGTCGTAACAATATTTTCACTAATTCCCGCTGCGATAGCGAGTGATGCTAATCACTTTGAGCTAAAATAAGCGCTTTTGCGAGCAGATCTTCGAGCACGGCGAAATTCTCAGCTAAGCGTGATCGCTGGGCCGCTGATATGAGGCACTGCTGTTCGTGAGGATGTTTTCTCTCAGTGCGCTAGCCGTTGGCATTCCCTTTTCCAGTCTCTCTTGACGTATGACTCGACTTCTTGTGGCTGGGGTAACTCTTGGTGTCCAGAAGCACAATTGCCGAAGCGCGAGAGAGCAACAGAACGCCCAAGGGCCATTGCACCTGTGTGATTCTTCAGCACTGCGATGCCAGAAAATGCTCTCTCAGCGTTCTTTTTTGCCCTCCGCATCTCCTCTTTCTATTATTGTTGTACTTACCACGTAATTTTATTATCATTATTGCTTCTTTTTTTCCCTCCACTCACCAGAGCCTTCCCAAACACTCTCACAGCCATCAGGCCAGACGGTAAATGGAATGGGAAGGCGATGGGCCAAACAGAAAGAGTTTCTCAGTGTGTAAATAATTTACAGCATTATCAGTGTAAAAGTGTAATTTTCCTATACTTGTGGCTATACATTAAAGCCACAATATATCAAATAATCTGTGCAGTGTGGGAAAATTGTGATCTATATCTAAATTGTTAATGATGTATTATGTCGGAGGAATTATTTATGCTCACATGTCTATTATTTAGGAGTTTGCTGAAGACGCCAATGGAGATCTCATGAAGACGCAAAAAAGCACAATCCTTGATCCACCGTAATTCACTCCTCTCGCGAGCAATGAGATCACAAAGAGAGAGAGAGAGAATTAATCTTAAACTCTGTATGGTGACCAAAAGTATCTCAAAGCACTCAAAGGAATAAATGAAATAGGAAATCTGCTGGTGTATTTGTACAATTAATTTCACTCGTGAATTGAAGTATTTATCACTTCTCCAAATGATCATATAATAGTGATATTTTGTCTCACATTTAGACTCCCTTTTTATGATTTGAAAGTGGCAACAAAAAGTACTTATTACCGCCAGCTCATCTAATTACAGTGCATTCCATCAATAGATTATCTCCTGAAGTTAAATTGACGACCGGAGATAAATTGTAATTGAGTCTTGCCGGGGTATATAAATATAATTTGAAGCAATGCAAAATATGTGAAGACTATTAATTGTATGCTCTTGTCTGCTGTTTTTACATATTTAGTTCTTTTGTTCGGCATATGGAAAAGGGAACGCTCAATTATGAATGAACCCTAATGTGCCAGATACTCAACAATAGCCTCCCATTCATTTAACTGCAATCACGGCATTTTTCGCACCACCGCGAAGCGCAGTCTAATCAATGAGGTGTGCTGCATTTTGGAGTGCACTCGCGATTGTACACGCGTGTGTAAAGCCATCATCGTGGGATAGATTCTCTATGGCAAAGCCTCACAAAGTTGCCAATGGTGCCAATTTTAGTCGAGTTATTGAAATTTGAGAAGCACAATTTTCGCAATGACCCAGAAAACAGAGTACTTTCAACCCAGTGCTTATTTGGCTCTGTGGATTTGCTGCAAATAGACGCGTTTTGACCGTTTATTTAACAACAGTTCTAAACTTGATTGTTTATCCGTTTTACTATTGACACGCCCCTTTTGATGCTCCGCCCATTCGCTCAACATCGCTACACATTTATTTTCATTTTCACCCACGAATGCCTTCTTTCATTTCACCGATTCACCCTGAAATTTTTCAAGAGAGCAGCAAATTCTGTCTGCCTACCGTTGATGCATGAGTGCGCTTGCAGAGTTTCTCGTTCCGGTAGAACAAAAAGGGTGGCAGCTCAAAAGTGCATCTTCTGAAAATGTGTGATTACACGAGGTAAATATGAGGAGAAGCAGAAAATAGAAATTAACTCCTATATCCACCGTGCAAACGCGATGACTCTAATTCCAATATTCCGTCGTCCGCAGGTGTTTCGCCCGTAGCCAGGTGGCGAGAGAGTAACACTTTGGAGCCCATCAAATTGGATGGGCACAATGCGAATCACGGTGCTTAAATGGGGAAATTGTCGTGAACTATTGGCTGAACTTGTGGCGCGCGATATCAATCGCTGAAAAGGGCACGGAAACCAACTCTGGTGGCTTCGATATTAGCAAACCTACAATGTGTTTCTGCCGCATACACAAATTGATGTGTAATTTGAATCTGCGCGCACTAAACTAGTTTGCAAGAGATTTATCTATGAACCGAAGTAGAATTATCGTTTCCTCCTGGATCGTGGCATTAGCACCAATGTTTCTTCCTCTTTTGTAATCGCCCTAAGAGACCAATGTGTTCATCTTTCTAGCGAGAAAATGTTCAACTTCCAAAGGCACACATTTTCTCTTCCTATGGCAGAGCCCAAAGAGACAATAATTTACATTTCAGGTGCGCACACTTCACAAGGCGCACAGAGAGCGATGTGAATAGTTTAGAAAAATTCCACTTTTCTGACACATTCCGCGTCATCTTTTCAGAAGGAAGTACAATTTTCGGTTCACGTCTATAAGTTCACAAAAGAGATCTGAGGAGAAGAAGAAGTGGAAAAAAAAGAGTGAGCAAATAAGAATTAAATTCTACGCTTGGATGAATTCCTCCACCTGACTTTTCCGGCAATTAGACTTTACTCATTTGATGGTTGCATGGTCATAAGCTTCTTTATATCATACACTCCAGTATCTTATGATTTTAGTGAACTCCAGAGCGAGAAATTGTAACAGGATTTTTACCTCCATTAAGATGCCCATTTTTCTTCCTCCCTCTCACTCTATCTCTTTGCCATCCTCAAATCAAGCCAAGAAGAAGGGAGAGTGAGAGAGAGAAAGAAATTCATTTACACAGGGTCGACGAATTCTATTAAATACACTCTAAGTAGATTTTTCATTTTGATCATAGACTAATTTAAACATGTGTTCTGCAGAGCGAAACTTCCATCAAACATCTAATTCAGTTCTGCTGCCTATCTTGTATCTCAGCAAATTCATACACCGGCCCGAGCATCGTGTTGCGGCTATCGCACAAAATCGAAAAATTATGATTAAAACACTTTCAAATATGATCCAACAGCTCTGCAATTAGCTGCAAAATTGAACTCCTAATCAACCAACAGTTGGAACATTATCAAATCCAACGCCAAGAATCACTATGGAATGGAAATTGCAGATCCTCAGCATTACGGTTAAGAGAACAAATAATTGCGTGCCTTAATTGAATAAGAGATGAAACATGGCCCGTGATTAGTGATAATATCGATAAATCGTACACAATTTCCAACAGATTTCCACTATTTGCTCACTTTCACAAGCTTTCGGTGGCGCTTCAACCGCAATTTCAGTTCAAAAGTGTTCTAAAAAGCTCACCAAAAAGCTCTCCTCTTCGCAACAGTACTAAAAACTGCTTTCGGCGCTGCCACTCTCTTAATTCTAAGAGACTGTCGTTGACGGAAAAGATATTAAAACCGATTCCAACTCTCTTTAAATATATATTTTTACATAAATTAAACAAATACATTTCATATTCCACATATAAAGCGATATTTAAAAAAAGCTTTCCTTTTTTTCTCAAATAGAAGCGTATTCCTGGTTGAAGTTTACAAAAAAGTGTTGTTTTTTCTTGTTACTCTCCATACTTTTCTTCCTTTCATTTTACCTAATAAATATATTCCACATGGAATTCCAATTACACTCTTTGTTTTAAGTATTTATTTAGTAAATGTGTTTTCCTTTTCTCATATATTAAGTTATCTTTTCCTTTTCTTTTTTTTTAAATGTATTATTATAATAGATTCTAACGTCGAATGCAATGCAATTCCAATATTTAATTTAATTACATGATACCTTTCATTTTACATTTATTACAATTAGATGTGATTTTTTTTAATGATTTTATTTCACTATATTTCTTTTCCACTTTTTGCTTTTACTTTTTTTTTGCCACGAGAATTTGATGAAACATTCATACATTGAGACATCTTCAACATTCAACACATACACACAAGTTCTTCTTTTCTTCTCCTGTGATTATTCCCTTTTTTTTAAAAACCTCTTCCATTTAAGTTATGACATGAAATATTTATTATTCTGCATGAGAGTATAATTTCTTGGGATGTCGAAGTGAATGCTAGAGAGACCAGAAAATCTATCAAATTGATGGCTGATTCATACTAAACACTATAATAGTCATGTCAACTGGGGATATTTTCTTTCGAGAACCATCATCAAGATCATCATATTTAAAGCCATGAAAAACTGCTGGAAATTCTCTAGTGAATCCGGAAATACATACTTTAACAACATGTTCGGGTGGTATTCTTTGTTAACTTTGTTACTCCATATCGATATCATCCGATTTCAATGCAAAATCAACCAATAAAACACATTCAGAGAGAGAGAGAGACAATTAGTAAATACATTTTATACTAACAGTGATTAAATAATAAAAATGTTCAAAGCCTGCACAGGCGAGGGTCATTCACTAGAAAAGGGGTTCCAACAGCAGTGAAGCTCTGCGGGTGTTGGCAAGATTGCGCAGGATTGACGCTAAAGAATGTTCACACAAATGACGCGGTATTACCATCAATTTGATCATTTCCAGATTTGAATAAAGAAAAAACAGAAACTTACACACCATGTGAGAATCTGCCTCGATTCGTGTGGTCTTAGATGTCGAGTGTGTCACAGAGGAGGAAGGGTACCTGCGGTGGATGAGTCATGGAATCTTTGCGCTTCTGATAGAGACACACTACCCGATAGATGAGTTCATACTGTTCGGAATTCTGCACCATTCCGCCACGCTGCAGTCTCAAATTGCACACAATGCCCAGGATGTCCACACTGGGATTCACTGGAGCAGAGTCGATCTGTCGCACGGCATTCAGAATGCCCGCCATGCAGCCCGTCCGCCCTATGCCGGCGGAGCAGTGCAGCACGGGCAGCGGCACCTTAGATCCACCCGCATCGCCACTCAGCAGATCCAACGCGAAGTCCAGCACCACACCCAAATCCTCAGGCGACCGATGATCCGGCCAGTCGGGAAACCAATAGTGCAGCACATTGAAGGCAAAGGGCTTACCGTCATTGTCGAAATGCCGCACGCACAGTCGCCTCACCGAATATCCCTTCTTCTGCACCACTCCCGTGTTCTCTATCACGAACGCATACTTGTGGATGCACCTGTCGTCACTCCTCTCCTCCTCCTCGTCCTCCTCCAGCATGTCCAGATACGCCTTCAGCCACATCGAGTCGCCACCCACTTGGGCCAATCCGTCATTCGGCGCGTGAGCCGACAGGACATCATCCGCCCCATTCGCGAACACCAGCACTTGCTTCACTTCCGTAGGGAAATACACTGCACACTTAGTCCTGCCACTCTCCACAAACTCCGTCAGCATGGCGATCTTCTGGTCCGCCGCACTCTCGCCACACCGACGCACATTCTGCATCACCATCAGCCAGAATTCGTAGATGGTGTTCGGCATGGGGCCCTGCGTGGCGATGTAGGCGTTATGCGTGCCATCTGGTCCCTTGAATGGCAAAAGAGAGAGAGAGAGAAAGGATGTCATCAAAGCACACTTTCACAACATATTTTATTGCACAACGATCGCATTCAAGAATTCTGATGATCTCATACCTTAATTAGAGCCATGAAGCATAGCAAAAATATGCATTTCTTGCTTATTCAGAAGGAAAACAATGAGTAGCAAAAATAATATTACCTTCTTTCGTAAACACAATTTGTAAATCAGGGGATTTCATATTAGACGAAGCAACGCATTATCAAATTACTAATTCCTATAGCCACAAGATTAGCCACAAGGGTTTTTCCCACATTGGAAAAACAGTCAGGAAATCACGATAAGTGGGAAATTTTACAGACTATGATTATTTTGATAAAATATGTGCATTGAAATCACAAAGATGAAATTATACACATCTTGCGGGAAAAAGAGAGAGAATCAATAAACAGAAAATTTTGCATTTTCATCTTTCACTTCCCAAATAAACACAAAAGTCGCGGAAACCATGAAATCACTGCACTCGCATGAGTGTAGTTCAAATAAACATACCTTTATGTAGTTGGCATTGATGTAAGGCTCCTGCAGAGACTCCGGATCCTCCGGCTGCAGGATCACGCGCGAGTGCTCATTGGGCAGGATGGTTTTGTAGCGATTCTTGTGCTGTGACCCAAACACCATTGGCTTCTCTTGATGATTTGTCGGCAAATCCCAGAACTCCTGATGAATCTGTCGGATTTTCCGCCGCTGCTTCATCACACATTCCTCCCGATCCATCTGCTTGTCGCTCATCTCCTCGAAGCACCCATCAAACTCCCGGATATCGTCCATGTGGAGCAGATTGGAGGCATTCTGGAGGAATTGTATGTTGGCCAGGTAGATCTTGAAGTCTTCAGACGTGGATTGAGGACTGAGAGGCTTCGTGGTGATCTGTCGAATCACTGACTCATCGCCACCTTCGTCGTCCACTTCCAACTCCAGACTCTCCGTCTGGTGTGTGGCACGCTGCAGGAGATTCTCAGAACTGAGGAACTTGCGGTGGTGCGCCGGACCAGATCCGGCCACACTCAGTTCTCCCGCACCTGCACTGCCCTTGAGCCGTGCCAGACTGCAGGCGGAGCCCCGCAAGCTACTGTTGGACACGCTGAGCAGTCCCTTGCGCGACTGCGAGGCTGCATTGAGAGATCCGTGACTGTTGAAGCGACTCAGTCCGGAATCTGAGCACTGGATCGTGAGCGTGAGACTGGCGTTGCTTCCGCGCCGCTGCAGGAGTCCCTTCTTCCCCGACGGCTGGGCATTGGTGGTCATGGAGCCAGTGAGGCTCGTGTTGGAAGCCAGATCGCCCACAGATCCTGCCAGGTTGAGCGTGAGACTGTGATTGGAGCCGCGACGCTGCAGTAAACTCGAGCGAACCTGCGGAAGAGGACATCGCGTGACAGGCAAGTGATTGACTGGCGAGTGTCCGGAACTTACCTTGGCCGGCGGCTGAGCTGGGGCGGGTTGCGGCGATCCCCCGAAGTCACTCAGGGGCATAACTTCGGGCAGGGTCTTGAGGTTGTTGTTGGACACACTGAGCGTGACGCTCTTCAGGCGCTGGAGATTCGAGCCGAGGTGATCTGACGTGCTGCGCGACTTACCGCGCTGCGGCTGGTGGATGCTCATCGTCTGCTGTTGTCGCTTGGGCGTCGTGGGCACGGACGCGGACGCCGTGGTGCTGGTGGTCATGGAGGCCTGGGATTTGCTCTTGCACACGCCTCCCGGCGGCTCCGAGTCCAGGGAGATGGCCTTCTGGCGGGTCTGCGTGAGGGTCGGCGTCTTGGGCGTGGGCGGCTGCCGCTCCACATCCGTGAGATTCTCACTGTCAATGTCAATCTTGAGTTGGTGCTTGTTGCGCTTGCAACCGGTGGGCGACTGCGTGGCTTCCAGGTCCAGCTCTTCCATCGCCACATTGAGATTCTCCTCCACCAGGCGCGCGCTCTCCGAGTCCAGCGAGATGGACTTGAGGCGCGCGCGTCGCGCCGTGGGCGAATTGCGGGCCATGTCGTCCACGGGCAGCGTGTCGCGCGGTGTCGTGACCACTTCCGGGCTGTTCTGGGCGCTGTCCGCCAGGCGGGGAGCGGTCTTCGCGGCGGGCGACCACACGTCCACTTCCGGGAAGCGGAAGTAGTTGCCGTGCTTGTAGTTGGCGGACGCCACCAGGGGCGAGTTGGGCGCGGTGTTCTCCTTGTTCTCCGACGGACTGCCCTGACGGCGCGGCTGCACGTGCTGCAGCTCGGCCTGCAAGCTGTGCAGCCAGTCGCCGCGCGGGGACTGTGGCGTGAGGGGCCCGCCGGCGGGCGGCGGCGTCTCGGGCAGCAGCTTGGGCGACTGGCTGACGGTCTGGGGCGCCGGCAGCACCGTCTTGGTCACCGTGACGCTGGCCAGGGGCGGCGGGAAGGTGAGCAGGATGGTGGAGGAGGTGGAAGTGGTGGAGGAGGCCGAGGAGGTGGGTGATGGCGATGCGGCTGTGACTGGTGTCCTACTTTCCGTGTTGTTTACATCAGCACTATTTTTGGTCTGGGTGTCCATCACGAGCGGTGAGGTGAGCTTGGTGTACTTGGCGCTGGTGCCCCAGTTCCAGTACCAGCGCAGGATGAGCAGGAGGACAGAGATGACCAGCAAGACACCGAGGAAGGTGCCCACAATTATCGATATGGGCAGCACAATAAAGTCTATCTTTTCGTATGTCACACTCAACAAACTCTCGCCACTCTCCACGGACGCATCGCTCAACTGCTGGCCTTTCTCGTCCACCGATTCAACTTCCCGTCGATGGCCAAATTGATCGCCCATACTGCATTTTTCACATTGAATTTTCAACCAAATCGCACGCACAATCCACTCATCGCACTTCTTTCTCTTTTTCTGCACTTTTCCACCACTGCCCGCTAAAAACTGCGTCGCCACAATTCGTTCTGTCGCCCGTTGACTTTTCACTCATCGGACAAGACTCTTTCCAATTCAGGCGCCCGTCGCTGCACAAGCCAAATTCATGTTATTCGGGAAATCCCATTCATGCATTTTCCCAAAGTACCGTACGAAATTCACTCAATTCACTGGTAATTTGGCAGAACAACAAAGCAATTTCTCCTCGTCCGCAGACATGTCCTTAGCATCGTCAGACTATTCGCATGAATTCGCGTTGATTGGCTTTGCAAGGCGAGCAGAGAAAGTAAAATCCAAGATGGAGGCAAAATAGTCATGAAGTTGGCTGCAATCGGCCGTGCGTTCGTCGTTTTCCGCCCGTTTGACCTACTTTCTTCGAATTCCGCAGCCGTTGTCCAGGTAGTCAATAAAAAATCACTGCTTTTTTTTTGATAAAATTATCTGTATTTCGATCAATGCAGTGTAGTTTAATTAGATCGAATTCCGATATCTGTAATCCCATGTAAACTAAAGTTAAGGAATATTTCTCATCAATTTCTCTCCTTTCTCAAACGCACACACTTTTTTGTCAGCGCAGTAGTTTAGTGAATCTTGATGATGCCGCACTCGAGAAGCTTCTGGATTTTGCTGGCAATAGCTGGATTCTTGAGATGCCTGCGAAAGAGAGAGAGAGAGAGGCATTTAGAGATTTGCAACTGGCGTCGAATGCGAGGATAATTCTTACTCCTGCACAGCTTTCGGGTCCTCTTGCATTTGGTCCAAGATGAGGCGCATGGCTGGATCCTGCAGGATCTGTTGTACCTCCGGATCGGACATGGCTTTTCTCAACACCTCCTCGGGATTCGAATTGACAGCCATGGTGCAGGTGCGATAGCCCTCGAGAGCCTCAGCATTCGACGGGTCCAGTTCCAGTGCCTTCTGATATGCCTGAAGCGCCTTCGACTGCTGCTGCATGCCCTGCGGATGAGAGGAAAGAAGCAGTCATCTCTGGCCTCCCACTTCGCCAAGGACTTCAGCAAACTCACCTGCAGGATTTTGCCCTTTCGGATCCACCCCTTGATGAACTTATCGTCCAGCTTCACGCACATGTCACAGTCTTTGAGGCCCAGATCGAAGGCGGCCAGCTTCGTGTAGCACGCCGCCCGGTTGCTGTACAGCTTGGGATCCTCGGGGTTCCTCTTGATGGCCTCTGTGTAGTGCTTCACGGCGACACTGTACTCGGCCCGCTTGAAGGCTTCGTTGCCCTTCTCCTTCTCCTCCTCCGCCTTCTCCGGATCGATGTAAGCCTTGCGCTCCTCCTCCTTGATCTTCCGCTCGATCTCACTGAGCAGCGTCTTCACCTCGGGCGTTCTGTGCTCAGACATGGACTTCTCATAGTACGTCTTGGCCGACTTCCAGTCCTCCAGCTTCCTGTACGCATTCCCGATGCGACTGAAGGCCTTGGCGATGAGCTTGAAGTCCGCCCTGTTCTCCCGCCCGATGGCGATTCCCTTCTCGCACTCGGCGATGCACTTGTGATAGTCGCGCTTCTCGAAGTAAACTGCCGCCAGATTGTTGTAGAACGTTATGTCCGTGGAGTCGTGCTGGATGGCCGCCTCGTAGTGCTGCACGGCTCTGTCAAAGTCCCGCTTCTTGTACGCCTCGTTGCCCTGCTCCTTCTCTCGCTTGGCAAGGCGCTTGTGCTCCGGCAGATCCTCCTCCTCCTTCTTCGGCTCCGCCTTGGGCGTGGGCTTCGGCGGCGGCGGCTTGGGCGGGTCCACGTCCATGGGCACCTCACTGGTCAGCTCGCTGAGGAGGCGCTTCTTCATCTCATCCAGGCCAGTGAGGAGAGCCGCATTGTTCGGATCGAACTGCAGCCCCTTATTGTACGCCTCGTACGCCTCCATGACGCGATCCAGGAAGCTGAGCGCCGTGCCCAGACGCGAGTACCCCTTCGCCCACGTGGGGTTGAGGCTCACAGTCTTCTGGGCGTCCTGCAGGGCTTCCTGGAACTTGCCGGCCTTCACAAACGCCGCCGATCGATTACTGTATATTACATGGTTCTGGTCATTCAGCTTCAGCGCCTCCGTGTACGCCGCGATGGCCTCATCGTGATTCCCAGCAGCAAGGGCGGCATTTCCCTTCTCCTTCAGCGCATTGATTTGCTGCAAGAAACGCACCAGAGTTTTACAGAAGTCACTCCAATATTGCAGGTTAGATCTCCCACTCAAACATTCACCCCACTTTTGCCACTCACCTCCTCCATTTTCCCAGTAAATTCTCAACTCAGCGTGTTGGTGGACTCCCAAGCTTCGAGGACAATGCGACTGCTGCACTTCTATCGCGTCTTTTCTTGCCAATTTCCACGAAAAACCCCAGTCTTTTGTTGCAATCACACACACCGAGACTCTAGAAATTTCTGAAACGCCGATTTCCGGATGACAGCTGTCACACACCCTATGGAGAACGGATTCCACGATCCGAAATCGTCCATGGAATATCTTCCACTTTTCTTCCTATAATAGGAATAAAATCCTCGGAATTCCAAGCTATCCTCCATGGATAAATTCCACTTTATTCCAAGCAAGATACCATGGAATAATTCCATATATATTCCTTTTTGGCATCCATGGATATTAGAATGGAATATTTTCCATGGTGATAAATCCGCGGAATATCCATGGGTTTTCCACGGAATAATTCGCTCTTTGCGCGTCCCCACGCGATTACGTCAGTCTTGTGAAATTCTTCTCATAGGAAAGAACGCGTAAGTATTTTTCTGTACTTTTCAGTACTAAAACGTTAAGTTTTTAATGGTAAACACTCTAAGTTTGGTGATATTTCCAGGAAAAGTGCTGAATGTATGCGATGGAGACGGCACAGGGACCCCACAGTCAGAGAAGACTCGAGGTTTCCGGACAACGTCAAAGTAGGAGAAACAACCAATGTAAGTATGGAATTACCGAAACATAAGAGATATATCCTGTTTTCTATACTGAACATGTCTTTTTTACAGGAAAATAGGATGCGGAAAAGCGGTTACCGGAGGATCTACTTATCCGACAGAGTGTGACTCATGACAAGGTAAAAAATGTTCTTCATGTTCTCAAATTCCTATGGCGAAAATCCATGGAACATCCTATAAATAACCATGGAAGATTTCCATGCTAGAAATTCATCCATGGAAAATCCCTCGGAACTCCGTGGATCAGCAAGGAAAATCCTTGGAATTCAGCATGGAAGATTCCATGCTGAATTCCATAGGAATTTAGCTAGGATGATTTTCCATGGATTATTTCCCACATTGCTTCCAAATTTTCCATGGTGACTTTTCCCATATATGGAAGATTTCCATTGCGATTCCATTGACCAATCCAAGGACGATTACAAGGAATACCATGGAGAGAATACCATGCAAATATACGATCAGTAATTAGTGTATTCTATTTTCCAGCATTTTTCAAACATATCCGGACCGGTGCGAGAGGACATCAAAGAGCATCTCGACATCCGGCGACCGCGGTACCAGTCGTCTAGAAGAGTAGCAGTCCCTGGGAAGCGGCATAGCAGCCACCAATGCAACGCGTCATAAAAATTTGATACACATTTGTAAGCTTGATAGTTAATATTTAATAAATACAAATCCAAATATAAATGAGTCTTTTTTTGAATATTTTGGGGCGGAGCGCCGGGAATTTCTGGGAGAAATTTCACACATTGGAATTTCCTCCATGGTATTCCTTGTAATCGTCCTTGGATTGGTCAATGGAATCGCAATGGAAATCTTCCATATATGGGAAAAGTCACCATGGAAAATTTGGAAGCAATGTGGGAAATAATCCATGGAAAATCATCCTAGCTAAATTCCTATGGAATTCAGCATGGAATCTTCCATGCTGAATTCCAAGGATTTTCCTTGTTGATCCACGGAGTTCCGAGGAATTTTCCATGGATGCTATTACGCGGATAGCATGGAAATCGTCCATGGTTATCCATTGGATATTCCACGGATTTTCGCCATAGGGACATGGTTCCGGAGCTGTCAAACTACACACGTGGTTGGCGGATTTGGGGTTTGTTTATGTTGAGGAAAAACTGGTGTGAAAAATGACTTCAGTCAAGTCGGAAAAGCGGAAAGGTGATGCGGGAGAGGAGGTGCAGAAGAAGAGGCCACGGAAGGATGCGGAGACGGAGGAGAGACAGCAGAGGAAGCCCTTCAATGCGGGGAGGTTTCAAGGTGGCGGGGCCAGAGCGCCGCATGGCCAGCGCTTTGTGCACCAGAAGAAGGACTGGAAGGTCTACAAGCAGCAGAAGAAGGAGCTGAAGGTCAAGAGGAAGGAGAAGCAGAAGAACAAGGACATCATGGAGATCATGAGTGAGGCGAAGAAGATCTATGAGGAATTGAAATGGTGAGAGATTGTGGCTTTTGTAGTCGATTGTTTGGTGTATTAATTGCCCGTATTTGCAGCAAAACTACAAAGGGAAGAGCAGAGATTGCTGCGAAGCTGCACAATATGCTGAAGACCGGCGACAGATACAGCAAAATGGTGCTGGCTCATGACACAGCCCGCGTTGTCCAGTGTCTCTTGAAAGTTGCCTCGCCGGAAATCCGCGCAGAGATCTTTGGGAAGTTGACTGAGAGTCTTCCAGCCATGGCAATGTCCAAATACGCCCACTTCTGTGTCCTGGCGATGCTGAAGCATGGCTCTGCTGCGACTAGACTGCGTCTCATTGAGGCTCTGTATGGGAATTACGTGAAACTCTGCAGTCACTCCTTTGGGCACACAATCGTGGACTCCATCTATATCACTTGGGCTACGGCGCAGCAGAAGTCGTGCATGCGGCAGGAGTTCTACAGCGATCTGTACAGGAAGGACAAGGACTCCACGGTGAAGTGTCTGGTGGACACGTTCAAGGATGCGTCGCACATGAAGAACATCGTGCTGGGGAACTTGAAGCAGCACATAATGAAGGCGGTGAACAAGAAACTGGTGGACAACAGCCTCTTCCACGGAGTTCTGGTGGAGTATCTCGCTGAGTGCTCCGAGGAGGACAGACTGGAGATGGCCACTGCCTTCACGGGTCTCTTGGCGTCGCTAGCCAGCACGCGTGAGGGCACAAAGGCGGCGACACTGTGTTTCTGGTATGGCACAGCCAAGGAGCGCCGCTCAGCGCTGAAACACCTCCGGGAACATGTGGAGAAGGTGTGCGTGCACGAGTTTGGGTACTTCCTCATCCTGGCCGTGCTGCACACAATTGACGACACGAAAATGCTGAAGAAGATGCTGCTGGACACGATTGTGGAGAAAGTGGAGGCGCTGGTGCAACACGAGGGCGGCCGGAAGGTTGTCGAGTGGGTGATTCAGCCAGGAGATACCAGTAATTTCCATCCTTCCTTCACCACGGCGCTCAACGAGGGTCTGAAGTACTCCAAGAAGGATGCCAACATTCGTCAAGCTGAGATTCTCGAAGCCACTCATGCAGATTTGGTGGCTGCTGTGATCAGTAACAGTGCCTTTTGGCTGTCAAACGGCCACATTGCGCGCACAATGGCGACTATTCTGCTGGCCAAGGAGGATGAGAAGACTGCTGAGGCATTTCAAGGCATCGCGAAGGTGATAAGTGATCCCTGTTGGATGCTGATGCCACAGCCGAAGCCAGAACCTGAGGATGGGGAGGAGGAAGTGGATGAGCTGAAGCCCAAGAAGAAATTCAAGAAGGTGAAAAATCCCTTGGAGAAGCCTCCAGTGCAGGAAGCTGAAGAAGCCCCCAAAGTGGGAGTGGAAGACGCCGGACTACACATTGTGCTGAAGAAATTGCTGAAAAATCCATCTTTTGCCGCGACTGTGCTGGAAAATCTCACAGAAGACACGGTGAGTTGCATGACTTTAACTCTATATTTTCAATTTATATCCCAGGCTCTCCAGAGGATCGCAGCAACTGGAAAATGCTCATCGTACTGCTTTCTTTTGCAGCTGGAAAAGTGGTTGCCTATCAACCGAGGTTGCTTCCTGCTGGTGGATCTGCTGAAGAGCGCTCCGGAGGCTGAGAAGTTGACTGGGATGCTGCAGAAGTGCCGGGACGTGATTGCGACTCACAAATCCCCGGGGGCGAAAATGTTGTTGGAAAAGATTCAATAGAACGCGAACTTCTGAAGAAAATGCCAAGTGTTTTAGAGTGTTCTCAGGATGACATGGAGGCCAGAGTCGGTGTCCACGATGCCGGACAATTCGCCCACTTTCAGGGCAAACGCGGCCTCCTCGAAAGCCTTCTGCATGACGCCTCGGCCGAAGACGCCGAGATCTCCTGCCCTCTTGGCGGAGCTGCAGTCGGAGAACTTCTGCGCCAGGTCGGGGAGTGACGCATCGCCCGACTGGATTTGCTTGAGGTAGCCCTCGAGGACCTTCTGGGCTTCCTCTTTGGAGCGCGTGATGTTCTCCTGGCGCCACGAGCTCGGCCGCCGACTCTTGCTATGCTTGACCAGGAGGTGTGAACACTGGATCTGGCTGGGGCCCTGTGACGAGGCGGCCTCTGCAGGAGCCGTGGGCAGGTCCCACTGGGACTCCTTCGTGTGGACATTGAGGTAGTAGTGCATCCCTGCGAATTAGCATTTACCGGCTGTCAATTTCGGCGTCCCTCCATCGATTTTCCACACACTTTTCCGCCCACACTCACCTGTGGAGCGGCTCAATCTCTTCTCCCAGCCGGCGGGAACAGCCTCTTCCGTAGAATCTGCCATTTCTAACTCGAGAAGTCCTGCAGAAGTGCCTTTTTCTCTCCAAAACCCCAAAATTCCAGACTTTTCTCTATCGCCCAAAGCTGAGCAACACTGAGCAACTATGCAAACCAGCGCCACAAGTGGCCAACACTGGTAGCTTCGCGACAGCCGGACTGTGGAATTGCGGCACGCGTACAAGCCTGAAGGCAAATTGTGTTTTTCGGTGGGAAATATCCCGAATTCAATGGTGAAAGTGTAGTGGAAATTGAGTTTGGGGTCTAATAAAGTAGTTTCCAGTGGTGAAATGTCCTCGGGTGGAGTTATAGATCGGATTTTGAAGGCGTTTGGTGTCAATAGGACACAACACGATTGGAGCAACAAGAGAAGGTAATTGGAGAAGCGCATTTTACAGCTTTCTGACCAGAAAGTTTACAGCTAGACGTATTTATTGCAGGTCTGAGGAGCGAGACGATGATCAGGAGATACTCAAGTATTCACGAATGAGCGACGGAAGCCTTGATTTCGGCAGAACGCTGGAACGCGGTGAGTCCGGGAGTGTATTTTGGGAGATGACATAAATTGCTGATCAAATACTTTTCTGTCCACCAGGGAATTCTCACCAGCTTTTGCACTCCACGAAGCGATCGTCGACGATGTCAATACTGAGCAAGTATGTTGGAGAGGGACAGACGTTCACGAGCGACCGAAGCCAGAGATTCAAGAAGCTTCCCTTGCGCACGGACTATTCCACCCCTAATGTCAGCAGTATTGACCTGGAGTGCATGGAGCAGAGCAGGAGGAGGTTTACCGACCAGGCACTCGTCATCAATCCTAATGTGGAAATTGAGATATCAGATGATGAGGATGTGACCTTCGTTCCCACGCTCAAGAGCAGCAATTTCAGCAACTTTGCCTTCTCTACTCTTCCAATCACGATCTCGGATGAGCGCAAGTCGCCTATGAGCTCGTCGAAGCCCATCCCTCCGCTCATACCGCGCTCCAGTTTGAACAGAATCAGACCCATTGAGAAGCACTCGCGGTTCTCCAGCAATCCGTCGCCTCTGCCCAGGCCATCGCTTCACAGTCGCTTCTCGCTGACGCGTATGCGAAAGTCACCGGGCATTTCCAAGGAGAACGTAAGGATCGCCTCCACATTGCGATGCCACCGACTAATCCGTCGTTGTGCCTCTTTCAGAGATACTCCAGGAGTGAGAGGATGGTGAAGTCGGTGCTGAAGGACTCGTATAATCTCTCGGAGAAGAAGAAATACAAAGACTTGCTGGAGAAACTGATGCCCTCGAGTTTGAAGTCTCGTCCTGTGGTGCTGAATGCGAAGCAGCCCAAGCTGAAGATTGTGGACACAATTGATCTCGCGGATTTGGAGTTCTCTGACGATGAAGTGCCGATGTGCTTACCAAAGTCCCTGCCAAAGACGCCAACGGTTCTGCAGGAGAGCACCAATAGTAGCAAGAAGACTCCGGTTCTGCCCATCAACTCCAAACCTATCACATTGAGCTCGTCAGAGTCCACGAGTAGTGTGTCGGTGCCAGAGATTGAGCCGGTGAATTCGATGCTGTTGAGGGTGAAGAGCAGTCCGTACTTTCAGGATGATTGGCTGCCCAATCAAAATGAGAAGTGCGTGGCGACGAACAGGGAGATGAAGAAGAAGATCCACGAAGTGGAGTTGCTGTGAGTGAAGCGTTTTTGTGTTTTGACTAGAGAAATTCCGACTATAATCAGTTCTTTCAGGTCGAAACAGTTTGAGAAAATCCGGAGGGAGGCTGAAACGGACGTCTTCCTCAAGAAGTTGAATAACATCGCGATATCGCACACACCCATTGTCCATGAGATCTCAGAGGACGAGGAGGAGTTTGTGCTGCCCGAGTTGACGCAGGAGCAGCTGCAGCTTGTGCGAACTGTTACCCACAGAGGTCATCTCTCAGAGGTGCGTGTGTTTGTCCATTCGGTGAATGTGTGCAGATGGTTAATTTTCTGCTGTATTTTCAGGTGATTGTGTCGAAATTCAATCTAAATATCAGGAGGCAGGATCTCTGCACACTCGTGGGCGATGCTTGGTTGAATGACGAAGTGATAAACTTCTACATGAACCTGCTGACTGAGCGGAGTACCAAGGGAGTGAAGCTGCCCAAGGTGTACGCGATGAACACCTTCTTCGCCGTGCGCCTCCTCCAAGCTGGACACAGTGGCGTGAAGCGGTGGACACGAAAGGTGGACATCTTCGAGCACGATGTTATCCCAGTGCCGGTGCACGTGAGCAACGTGCACTGGTGCATGGCAATCATACATCTGAAGAACAAGACGATTCGCTACTACGACTCGATGGGGCAGCCGAACATGCGGATCCTGGACGCGCTGGAGCAGTACTTGAAGAGTGAGTCGCTGGACAAGAAGCAGAGGCCATTCGACATGAGCGGATGGCAGAAGGAGTGCATCGCCAATGCGCCCAGGCAGATGAACGGCAGCGACTGTGGCGTTTTCAGCTGCATGTTCGCCGAATATATCACGAGAAACAGTGAAATCACGTTCACGCAAAACGACATGCCGTACTTCAGGCAGAAAATGATAGTGGAAATTGCGACTGGACGACTTCTTCTGTAAGAGAAAAGATGGAACAAAATGCAGCGGAGAAGAGAAATTATGCGCCTACTTGGTGCCCAAATTGAACACATGATTTAATTTAATAAAACGTCTCTTTATTCATTAATAATAAATTCATTCTCATTCTCTTCGTCCAACGAATTCTTTTGAAATGAACGCGACTTGTTCGCTTTTTACACACTCTCTCTAAAATTTACCAAATAGAACGCTTATTGTGTGTGGATTTTCTTTCTTCGTGTTTCTTCTTAATGTGTTGAAAAATATCCTTTTGTGATGGAATACATAAAATCTGATAAAATTTTCATTTTGTTCATGAAATTTGCTTTTGTACATTCAATAAAAGGAATAAAATCACTCACAATGGCAAATGATGGCGACTAATTCATGGAATGGTCCTTCTTTCTAAGAGATAATATTATTAAATTAAGGATTTTCCACTGCACAGTTGAATCAACACTGCCAAAGAGACAGAGAGAGTTGAGTTAAATATTATATTTGCTCCACTCTTCAAATTATCATACTTTGGTGAGTAGAATTGTATAAATAGAGGAGCTTCTTGTATGACTAGCCATTGGAAATGCATAAATTAACTCTAAATCATGTGGGAAATGACACATCAAGTCTAAAATTAAACTCACTTCACAAAAAACGTCCTCTTTTGCAATTCTAATGCAAAACTTCGAACTATAAGTAAGTACTTTGATGATGGAAGTTTGTATATTATCCTATATTTCTCGGGTTTCTCTGCACTATTATTACACTACAATTCATTTTTCATCTCCCTTGCTTTTCCATGCAATTTTTCTTTTCTTTAAATTTAAATGTGTTAATTAGAAAGTCAAGTCTAAATTACGAAGTGCTTCTTACTTTTAGGCAATATAATTTATGGTTTTTTTTCTGTTAATTACTTGTCATTTTTCTTCTCTTGTATATTTATTCTATGTTATGCATTTCTCACTATTTATCCATCCCTTCAGGAATGCCTCAAGCTTCTTCCTTCCAATTTCCTCCCTTTCTCTTATATAGAATCTACGCACGTGTCTGAGAAATTGTGTATTTGAGCCGGGGAAAAATGTGAAGTTTTTCTTTTTCCGTTGGCAAAGAATTGAGGGAAGTTTTGTGCTCTTCTCGTGGCTCTTGATATTTTTTTTTCGGGAGAGAGAAACGGAAAATTTCATTTTTCCTGCGCGACCCCCAAAAATTTGTATCAATCTCAGGAGAGTGAGAGGAAAGAGAGGGAAAGAGTGGGAAAAGTTTTGCCCAGACTAATGAGCAGAAAACTTTCTTCTGTGTTTGCTGGTCATAAAGTTTCCACGTTTTTATTTTATTTTATCATGTCACATCATTCCGTTCTTTATGTCATTCCTCAAAAAAAGAAAGAAAGAAGAGAGAAGGAGAAACCTTAAGACAAGGGCGGGAAAAACCAATTGGCTGAAGAGATTATGAGGAGGGATGACAAGAGCGCGGAGAGTAAAAAAAAATGGCATATCAGAGTTGGAAATCTGTTGGTCGAGATTCTCACTCCGCAATCCGCATGTTTCTCATCCATTGTCTCTTGGGCGCTGTTAACCCATTACTGGCCTTCGGCGGCCACTCAGATTTCCCGCAATTGTGCACTTTGACGTGACACGCAATGGGTTAAGGAGGGGAAAAGTGATGGGAAGAGGAGTGAAAAGCGCGCTAACTGTGTGTGATTTTGCGGAAATGTTGTTTTGACGATTTTATTAACAAAAAAACATCGCCTATCTGGCTTGAACAAAAGGCAAGAAGGGAAAGTTTTTACATAAAATACCTCCCCAAACACCCCCAGTTCATCCGCGCTGGATTTTTTTGTCATTCTGAGTTTTCCCATTTAGTTGTTCTCTTCCACTTGTCACGAAAGGAGGACCAGGGAGTATTTATTCTAATAAGAGGGTTGATTTACGTCCCACTGAAATCTATATAGAAAGCTATCCGTCTAAATACAATTAATCATACTTTTATATTATTTCATCCCCATGTTTTACTCTTAATATATACTTTCACTTAATACAATTTCTCCCGTCACTGATGGTTCACTCAAGGAGAGTCGCAGTGGCACATCGAGTTGACCAACCCTTGGTATTTTATACCAAAGTTCTTCTCTCAATCCCTCAGCCCAGCATAAAATCATCTACGGATTGAAAGCATAAAATGAAACGCAATTTATGTCTCTTCGAAAGCTTCAAACACATTCACTAAACTTCTCTTGGAGAATTGATCACTTTCTGAGAACCCAATTTTCCTTTTTCCAAAAACCCAAAATTCGAAGAAACTCTGCAAAATGTGCCACTGTCTGTCTCTCCTTTCGTGCGAGGAAAATGTTCTCTCTTTTCCGGCCAACAAGAGGGTGAAAGCCGCGGTATTTTTTTTTGTCTAAAATGTATTTTAATATTTTATTTGCCCATCACCATTAATTAGTGTCTCCGTTTTCTCTTTCAATTAATTACGTAATTAGTATTTCCTTACAACTTTGGCAATTTTTTTCCGTGTCGCTATTTTGTATGTGTGTTTGTGTGTTATTTCCTGATAAATATAGAAATGTTGCGTTGTTCTAAAAAATCGAGCGAAGACCACGAGATAAATCGATTGCGGAGAAATTGACAAAGTTTATTGAATTTCCTACAATTATGGGTTGCTCTTTTCTCCACCTCGGGACTTATCATGTGCTCTTTCGCCACCCGAACCGCCCTTCCGGTTCCCGTTTGTCACCTGACAGTTTTTACACCCGCCCGCGCGGCCTTAGCCGAGGATCTTCTTCAAGTACGACACGGAGTCGGGCTTCGTGAGCGATCGCCGACGGTTGGGCCGGTAGGGTTGGTAGTTTTCGATGTTGGAAAAGCTGTTCTCGTAGTCGAGACGCCGCTGGGCCAGGAGGAAGCTGCTGCTGGACGGCGAGAGCGTAGTCTCCAGCTCCGCCGCGGAAGACGATTTGTCAGCCTGCGAGGTTGCGTCCTCGGCGGTTGCGCCCTTCCCACCCTCGCTGGTGTCAGACGGTGGCTGCCTCGAGGATGGGGCAGATGTGGTGACTTCCTGAATTAATTCCGCCTTGTCGGTGATTGCGCCATTGTTCACGGGCGGGGACACCGTGGGTGATGAGGATGGCAACTCACCTGGAAACAGAGAGAAAGAGAGCGAGCGTGCAGACATCCATGAGCATTTTCCTCACGCAATCAACAGAGGATTTTCCCTCAATTATGACAAGTCCTAAATCATATAACTTCGGGGCGAAATTTAAAGATATGACTCGCAGCTTTTGGATAATTGAATTTCGCGATGATTTTTCGCAATGTGGAATTTGAATAAAACCTGCGATTTTCAGAAAAGAGACAATTTTTTTTCCTCATTTCTCAGCTCATTCGCGTAATCCCAATTGGCTGATGTGGAATGGAGGGAAAGGAGAGTGAGCTTACCAACAGTCGATGTCTCATCCCTGCTCTCCGTGTCTGTTGCATTGTCCCTGGCAGGAGTCGGGACCTCCTCTGCCGCCTTGTCCGTTTGGCTGCCGTCGGAGGAGTTCAGCGTGCTGTTGGGCGACTCTGTGGCCACTTCCAAGTGTGACCTCGTGGACGTGGCCGTGAACTTAGCCTTCACGAGCAGCATGGGCGGGATGAAGTGGTCATCGGGCGAGACCTGTGGCGAGTCGTCCTTCCGGTGAGGCTTCACGAAGCCACTGGCTTGCTTCGAGGAGTCTGACGAGATGTGCAGCGGATGAATGATGTTCTTCCCTGTGCCCTCGTCCGTTGAGCTCGCCTGTCCTCCAACCGGCGGCACGATGTCGTTCGTGATGGAAACGGTGACGAGCGCTTCATGCTCAGTGGTGGTTTCATTCGCCGGAAGCTCTGTGGTGTCCTTGTGGGGTTCAACAGAGGTGGCCATTGTGGTGGTGGAGAGTATCACTGTGTCCGCAGACTCGCTGGTCTCCGTGGCGGGAATGAAGGTAGAGGGAGCGATGATTTTCTCAGTGACGTCCGAAGACTCTGGCGGAAGACTGGTGTCCTCCACAGCGGGCAGATCCTTGAGCTTGAGGTCCTGCTGAAGCATCTTCTTCACGTGCGGCAAGACTTCCGGAGTGGTTGCATCGGCAACAGCCTGATCACCCATCATCATGTCATCCAGAGGATTTCTGCCGCGCATCCTCTTGCCGGTGAAGGGCTTCTTCTCCATTGGCAACACCTTCTTCTGCGACGGCGTCTTGGTCACTTCATCCGTGAGCAGTGTCTGAGGCTCATCAATTGGCTGGTCGCCGACCATCAAGTCCTCAAGGGTAATCTTTACGAGATTATTGTCATTTCCCGTGGCTGAATCGAGTCTGCTCAGCGCCAAGTCGATATTGTTGTCCTCCGTGTTATCTGACTCTGCATTCTCCATCTCCTTAGCCGAAGTCACCTCATGATTAATCGACTTTGCGGCTGAGACATTATCGTCGGGCATAATTAGATTATTCACGGACATTTCCACAGCATTCTCGTCCGTACATATTAATTGCTTCAGTATTGTGTCCCTATCCTGAAAATCATAGTCATAGTCAGGGGGAAATTCACTAGCGATTTCAGACTATTAATTTTCTGCTTATTCAATACATTTTTTTTTTCATTTTTCATACAATTTTTTATAATGTCACAAAATATTTAAATATTTGATTATTCTTTGAATGTTTTGATTATTTTCCGACTACTTTATTAAAATTATAATATATTTAATATTCGATTATTTTTCCCACAGTTTGGTCGGAAAAAATATTGGTGTATAGATTATTTAGGGGCGTTTAAATCTCCAAATTAACCCATTATTATTAAAATTGCAGCATGAGAAAACGACAGTTTATTCAATATTTCAGAAAAAATAATTTGATAATTTTAATTTTTTGGCGAAAATATTAATTTTTTTTGCAATTTTCCTTCAAAAATCGATTAGTGGCTTTCCCCTTGGTTATAGTGTGCTGAGAATTAATACGTCTAATAACTGCCAATGATTCAAGCACATGATATTGTTCAGCCCACAATGGCATGTATGATTTCCGAATCTGAATGATTTATGCATGATTATAGAGCTTTGCCACCCACTCAATAAATGCACCTAAATTCATTTTTACGCGACTTTCATCAAAACTCATGATTCGACCTAGAAAAAACGGCTCATGCTGCTTGACGTCGATTAACGAAATATTTTGACTTCACGACCCTCCCGTCCGATGGTAATGAATTGGAAAATCAGCTCCCGCTAGTTGACCATCAGCTAGTGGCGTAGACGCGAAATTAAACACCTCATGGCGGTTCTCTGCGGGTTGGCCATTGTGTGAGGCGCTGTAATTAACGGTCGCTCACCTGCTTTCCTTTGCACGTCATGTGACGTCCTCCCTCGTCGCCGCAGTCACGGGATAATTGGACCGTGCCACTGTCCGACATGTACTGGATCGTGAGCGATGGCATGGCTGTGATTGCGCAATCGGACGCCCAGCTCGGCACTGCAAGAATGCATTTTTCAGCACGAGAAACAGGATATCTTGGCGAGGAGGAGGTCGCTTTGACACATTTGATAAGGGAGAGAAAGAGAGAGAGTTTCTGCGCGGTGTGGCGAATGGGCAAAGTTGCCATTAAATCAAGCATTTCAGAGGGGAAATAGTTTGAAAAAAAAATTGCATGAAACTTTAAAATCTTGATTGTGGCCACACGTATAGTGAGGTTTTTGTGTGTTCACATCGTAATTAAAAATGACTCGCTTCAGTGTCATCATCATAGGTGTGTATTTTAATTTAGACACTCCGAAAGTGCCTTTATCAAGTGTGTCCACACTCGTGAACATGAATAGCCCGAAACTTTATTAGATACTGAAATGAATTATTGTGTAGCCACGTATTATTTCTGGAGCAAATTAAATTTTCATCTTTTCGGGGTTTTCCGAAAGAAACAACTGGTGAGAAGCATTATTAAATTATCCCCTCGGCAAATTGCTGGAGTTTTGCCACTATCAGAAATGGCTCAATTTTAATTAAATGCTTCGCTCTGGACGAGTGGCAACAGCTCGAGATGCTTGTCAATTGGTCTATTGCCCTGCAGGCTCCTGTTTTTCCCCACCATTTTCAAGCCGTACTGCAGAAAAGGTGTGTTTTTCCTTGTTTGCCCCATCGGGAGAACCACATGAAAACTTACCGCTTAGTTCGCACAAAAATGCTGCAGTCTCTGGGCCACCACATCGCAGGGCATGCCATCGAAAGTCTCGAAGTGGATCAATAACTGCACAGAGTGGCGAGTCTATGGCTGGCAAGGATTCCGCCCAGTAGCCGGAAATTGGTGCGAGTGGCTTTGCATTTCTGCAACGAAATTTATTGCACACGTTTTTGAATATTGTACAGAGCAATACTCTCCCAATATCAATCTCCCAAAGTCTTCAAATTGAAATTTCCATTTGGAGGATTTAGGCGTATTTTGCATGGGGAAATTGAAAATATACCCAATTTTGGCGATAGTAATCGACAGAACTAAATTCGTTTTCATTATTCATAGATATTTTACACAGAATGTTTCTCTGTCAATATTCATGATTGTTCACAAACTATTTATGACTATCGATTACACACTGATTACATTTCACACTATCAATTGCATAGAGTTCAGCATATTTTAGGATATATTGAGAACTTTGGTCCATTAGTTAGTGTGATATTTGCATATTTATCCGAAACTTTCGCTCTTTGAACCTCTGATTGACAAACATAAATATGAAGCTTCAAATTGAGAAAATACTATTGAAATTTGAATATTTAAGATAATAACCTAATTTATTATTTGTATTTTCTTAATTTAATAATTTTTTCCCCTTCAATTCCACCTAATCGATTTCGTATAAAACTATTTTCGGACTCCTAATCCGCCTCAGATTGTGATGTGGGTTTCGGAGGATTGTTGGCTTCTTTCTGCCTGAATTAAATGGAGAAAGGTTTCCAATAGGGTAACACGTGCTAATTTATTCATTTCCATGGGAATTCTATGAAATATTCATGTTGCTACATTAATCCATAGTAACACGTCGTTCACACGCTCAAATTGATGGATTAGCGGCGAGCCTTTCTTTTCCCTCAAGAAACAGCCTGGCAGTAGTTATCAATTTGTTGTGCGAAAGGTGAAACTAAATAATCCTTCCGAAATAAATTAGGGCTCAAGTGGAGGCTCTTGTGTATTCATACGAAGGATATTTCCTCCTTTTAGCCACCCCCACCCACACTCGCACACTCGTGTGTGAAAGGTAATCTTGAGCTACGACGAAAGCCAGTGCAAAACACCCCAAACAAGCTCATGGCTTGATAGGGAGATATTATGATGGAGGATGAAAAGGGAAATAAATGGGATGATTATAAAATATGTATTACACCAAATGTGTGTAAACAATTAAGTCAACCAAATCCGAACTGTCGGCCTCGACGTATCCCTTAGGAAGATTAGGTGAATTATGGTACTTTGGATGTGCGCCGCCTGAGATGACGGCGAAATGGGATGGAATGGGTTATTGTGATATGATGCGCTGCTCTTTGCGATACATGATGTAAAAGTGACGATGCTATTTGGTGCGGGAATGCAAAGTGGATGGAAATCAAACAGGGGTTTTGCGAGTAAAAGTTATACTTATGTATATTTCTGCGGACCACCAGAGTGTGCTCCGTATGGATTTCTCACACCTTTGTGTACATTAGCAATAACATTCTATGTTATTGGACTTGATGCTCTCCGGGAATCTCCCTTCAATTTTGATCAAGTGTGCAGAGTTAACCTCCCTCTGGCGTGTCCCTGCACGAGACCATTTCTTGGGATTGGGAAATTCACCCTGGGAATATATGTAGGGGTAAATCCAACCGCAAACATATGATATTGCACAAATACTCCATTGCTGAGCTCACACGCTAGATTCTCATGGATACGGCGGCAGTAGATTTGCATCTGCTTCACCATCGGAGCCGTGGAATTGAAATTCACAAAATCACATATCTTTGCATTCGCCCGCCCCAGAAATGGTGAGGTGTGCCGGCGGGTTTGGGGAATCGGAACGGCACAATTGTGCATTCCACAAGCCACCGAAGGCCATCATTTGCCAGCCATGGCAAGACATGGCGAATGAATTGGGGGACCAGTTGGGTACGGCTTTTATGTGACTGTGGCCACAGCCTAATTCACTTTGCACCACACTAAGTGCGGAATATCTGCGGTGGATCGGCCGGAGCCGGAGCGCCATAGGAGGACGGCCAAGACATGCTGAGACACATATTTTTCATCCCTAAGGACGATGGACGAGGCAGATTGAAAAAATCCCACAGAATATAAATTGAAAATTATGCATTGCCACAATTTTCTAAATATTTCATACGACTTTTATTACATTCCACGTCACATGTGCGGAGAAATTGCACTCAAGTGATACTCGTACTCGCATTAAACTACACCCTCGCAATCGTGGAAATGTATAAAGAAATTGGGTTTCTACTGTATGTGCAATGAGCGTAGAATTTATAACTAATATCGCAGTCTGTAGTCTGAATCTACTTTGAGACCGAAGGAGAAGTTCAATCTGCGAAGGTCTTACGGATGAGCAATCAAGAGAGGAACATCGAGGATATTTAATTATTCTGCAAGATAAATAGTAAACTCCCAACATTCATGCTTAATTACTATGATTGCGCCCGAGTGTCCTCAAAAAAGCGTTCATACGAGAGTGAATTGGTGTGAATTTTTATACATCACATATTTTTGAGTCGCGCAGATGAAATTGCGCGCAAATAAGGAGTGGTTTTAATTAATTCCGCTGATTCGTTTCTCCATTAAAATCCAATCGACAGTAACTGCAGCATCGCATTTTAATTGTTTTCCACCCCCGCGAAGTGGGTTCGGGACAATATAAATTGTCTCACGCTGCTGGGGGTGAACCTCTTTCGTCCCCATCAGTGAAAGGAAACCCTCTTCGCTTCACTCTGCGTCTTGTTTCAGTGGACTCGAGAGTATACAGGAAATACATTTTCCGCCGTAAATTACATCGAACGTGATACGGCTCTTGAGTCACCACCCACTTGTGATAAATTAAATCGAATTCATTTAGCACGCGACACTGCTTTAAAGAGTGGAGCAATTGAGGTGTCACAGAATTCATTATGCAGCTCATGCAGCCGGAATTTACTTTGTTCGGCTTTTTGCGGAATTGGTTGAGTGTTAATTTTTAATTTAGCAGCGCTTAAGCCCCTTCTATATTTACCTAATAGATTTATTACAGTCATTAGTCTCACTCAGTACATTTACTTAGAGCGAAGATTACAATGTGAAAATCATGCTTTGGCATAAGTAGTTGAGATTTCGTGCCTAATTGGATGAGTTGCGGGGGTACATATTAGGGAACCCTTCGTTTTGATTCCATAATAATTTTGTTTTCACTCTAATTTGACGCCAAAGGACCCGCAATCCCAATTTTCCCTGCACGTAATGTGATATTTTGAATGATGTCGGTTGGTGTTTCATCAACGGTCGAGCTTCATTCCATTGTCATCATGCGAAATGACACCCCATCATCAACATTAGCAACGATTACGGGAATATTGTGCGTTCTCTGTGGCCGACTATGGCAAAATATCCCATCCACTCATCGGATAAATTTCTATATTGTGATCTAATATGACAAAGGGCATGAGATTGGGTGTTTCCCATAGGATGTGGTTTATTCGCTTTTTCGCTCCGCCGTTTTGAGACTCGGACCCACTCCATCGCAATCCAGAAGGTATAAAGTGGTGAGATGTGTACAAGGGAAGTATAATTGAAAATCCAAAACGACATTGTGATAAATGGTACTGGTGGTTTGTGGCTTTCCTCTCTTGTAGCCCCACAGTCTACATTTTAATTCTACGGCCCCACCCACACCTTCCGCCCACATCATACAGAACACAATGTCACAATTGCGGAGAGTCGGTCCACAGAGGCAGCAAAGACAGAGTCAAGAATTCAGCTCTCAACAGCCACTGCTCTTTAACGCTGTCTAGCAGGGGGGGAAAAGGGGTGCAAATTACCTTCCAAATTCCCCTACACCATCAACAGTGACAAACCATCAACCTCATAACCATTCTCCCCTAAATATTTTACGATACATCCATTGTCCATAGCGTCTATCAAGGAGCAAATTGTCTGTTTCAGGGCTTTAAACTTCTCTCCGAAAGCCCCCATAGTCCGAAGGATGGGCGATATGAGACGGCTCATGTGTATAGTTTTGGGACAAACCGAAACTGAAGTCTTTCAGCTTCACTAATTTGCGCCAGACATGAGAAGTTGAAACGTGGGAAGATCCCTGAGGAATTGTCTCACATGGAGAATTGATTTTTATCATTAAACCAGGCAAATCCTTTTAATCCCACAAGTTAACCTCTCTATTGCGCTCCGAGCTTTTACCCTCTACTTTTCGCTTCAATGTTTGGGGGTTTGGATCTGTCCACACAGAGCCTCCAGCACTGAGGATTTCACCATGATTGTATTACATTGGGAAAACTTCTATGCTATACCAAAAAGTTTTAAATTACTTGTAATTCTTACGATAATCAACCTTATGTGGTCGGTTTAAACTTGCAATATGACTTGGCGACTGATAATTGAGTTTGAAAATTTTAGGATCGAGCGAACATAAAATTCTAATGTCTCGTACTGCAGGAGGCTCTCGAGGACTTTTTCCGTGAGAACATAAGGGAACAACTCAAATAGCCGATAAGGGTTTCAAAGTGAACAAAACTTGTGCTTTCAAAGTCCTTAGAAACTTTAAGTTTTCAAGTGGAAAACTCTTTTTAGAGATGAAATTTATAATATTATTCACGCTTTTCAGACGCATGAGCTTATTATATTTGATAATTAAATGCGAAATGTTTGATTCAATTATCAGCAAATTAAAAATTCGCTTGAGTGCCATAATGACCGATTATTCATTATTTCTGACACGTGGAGTGCGAAATTAGCATATGCAATATTCTCATGAAACTACCCGGGCTTGTATAAATTAAATTTTATACATATTTAATTAACAATATTGCTGATGACGCCCCTGAGATTGGCATACAACTGTTACGGAATATCATGATTATCCCCCAGTTGCCATTTATCCTTTTATCGGATAAGCGAAATTAATTGTTGGTTTCCCGGACTATTTCTTTTTCCTTTTTCAAGAAAATCCTTTGGAAATAAACCAATTGAGGAGCCTGTGTGTGTGTGTGCTCGTGTTATGGGCATGATGACGACGGAAAGTGCTGAAATGTCCCTAAAGTTTCCCCCATGTGAGAATTTCAATATTTGCCCATAACATTTATACAAAATCAGCAGACAGTGCAGAAAAAAATGTGTGACTGTGGACGAGTTGGGGTGGAAGGGCATGCGAGGGAAAATTTCAAACGGAAAAACTTTTTCCTTCACATATTACAGAGATTTCCATGATGATGGATATACTTTGCTTTTGACATTTTTTTCCGGGACGTCGTGGTAGAGGCAACGAATTACTCCTTCCACCCACTGTCACATTGTATACGGAGGCAGCATACTAAATTATATAAAAATCACATATAGTTTTCCTGCCATCCTCCAGTTGAGTCTCCATTTGCCAGGAAGATATATTCAACACACACTCGCATTACCTTCTCTTTTGCATGGCGTCTCTCCCTCTCACGCCCTCGCCCAGACTGTTTGGTGTGCGACACAGCTGACGATGCCGAAGGATGTTTTATGTTGATTGCTCCCCCCGTCAGCCGGAAGATGTTGCGGGATGGCGGGGGCGGGCGCCGCAGGGGATGGGCCAAGTGAGATTTAAACTTTCCCTTAAATAAGGTGAAGATCATCGCCACTGCGAAAGAATGACACGACGTCTCGGAGGGTGGGAAGTTGATGGGATACCTTCTGGATCTGATGGCAATGAATTACATTTCACACTAATACACCGTGGATGTGACATGTTTAGCATCATTTTAGCATTTTTTTGCCCTTGAGGCAACTCTGTGCGGAGTCCAAGGAGCACAGTGCTCCCGGAATTGTGATGCTCGTTTGATATTATTTCTGAATTTGAGCAATTCTTCACGATCTTCCAATTAGTTTTTTTTTCTTTTGGAGTAAATAATTGGTGGCGTATAATGTCTTTCTTTATGAGCTCACGGCACATTTGGGTGAGCGGCTATAATTGCAAAAGTGAATGCTGCTTTGGAGAATAATTCAGTAATTCCGGATTTCGGATAATTGCATGAACACCTCTTCGGTGTGGCACATTTTCCCAGATCGTAAAGTCTCTCTCTCTCTCTATTAATCGCTGGTACAGCAGTTCCATCTGGCGTTAGAGAAATGATTATAGGCATTCTGTATTGTGCGGATGCATATAAAATGCTCTTCATATAGTAATTTACACCCCTTAAATGGCTTGGGTGGTTTAGCGCGGTCTTCTTCCATTCTGCCTAGAGTGACATCACCATTAACTCCCCTGGAATGGTGTATGGCACGATGGAGAGCACTATACACACACTTTGTCTATTTAGAGACTTGGCTGAGGCAAGAAGCCGTCAATAATTGGAGCAACTCACGTCCAAATTTCCCATTCAAGCCATCCAACCTTCGGGCGCACCGAGTGTGAGTGTCCGGGAAGCGCAAATTAAAAGCCAATATGAGGGAGTTGGCAGCAAGATAGCATAATGGGATAACCTCTCTACGGCCGCAGCACAGGCTGTGCTGTGTTTCTTCGTCAGCATTATGTTTTGCAAGAGTTCACGTTTGTTCCATCAACATTTAGTTTGAGTATTAATTTCCCCTATAATATCTGTCCTAGAACTCACCTAATTGCTGCTGCAGGACACTTTATACCACATGAGAAATGCACACTTTGTACGACAGAGCATATTTCTTGCGGAGAATAAATCAAAAAATTATACGGATCCTTTGATATGGCGTTTCAGCCAGCAAACTACTGGCAATTTATATCGTTTCTGCTCGAGAGCTTTTTTGAATCCAGTTACAGCGTGGCTGTCGCTATGAAATTGGATCATGATAGTAGCAATTGGTAGCAAATCACGTGAAATGTTTCTAATTCGAAATTTTATTTATTACCTTCCCTCACCCTTTGCCAACCATTCGACAGCGTCATTTCCATCGTCAGTCAACTGAAAATTTATTCGATATCTCGTCTCGATTTTTCCTTCGCTCGCTATGTATGCCATGCGACACATCGGCAACGAGTGTGAGTGATCTGCAGCAATACATCCCTTCACGAAGCACTTGATGGGCACAAAGTATATGGAAAATTGAAAAGAAGCTTGACTGAACAAATTGATTGGATTAGCTCGGGCGGTTCACTGCTTGGTTGTTGTTTTGTATGTGGAGCACACCGAGAGGCCCCCAATCCTTGTCTCCTGCGAGAGATGCCATTTGGATTTTCCTCCGTAAGCGTGTATCCCCAATTGGAATATAACACCCATTCATGGTACATCCATCCGCACATATTAATATGGCTGAGAGTTGGGGCGGGTCTCATATCCATAAGTGAAATGAATAAATAATAAATTGTATTTGTGAAATTGGATTTTGACTTTTACTCGTGCAAATACACATTATTCCCCCTGCCCATGGGCGGAATTGTTTACTCTGCGTCGCTCTGCACAATAAATAATTTAAATGTGAGATGAGATTTTAATCTAATGAATTTCTCCAGTGCAATTAAGGCAGCACTCAGACCATAATGGTAAAATGTGCAGCGGTGGAGCAATTAGTAGTGTCCGAAATGCTGTCGTCCAAACTATCTCTCGCAACGAAGATTCAATTCGCATCCCTCACCGCATCCAAAATCGACATGAGGACCACTATATGGGGACGATTAGATGACTCTTATGCCACTCACCCCCTCAGATCCCACCCTCGACAGTGTTGCGATGAGATCAATATTTGCTGAAATGTGTACAAATTTATTGATACGGAAGGTTTATCCAATTCAGCACAATTCACCGGAATTCCAATAGACTATGCTCACGCCCCACCCCCCGATAAATACACAATCATTTTCAATCGATGTGTATCGCCTTGCCTGGGAAACACGTGCAAATTCAACGCTCTCCAGCCCCGAAATTCCATCCAGGCTCACACGCTCCCCCGCCACCATCTAGTGGCATCCACTGGCATTAGCTCTCGGTGAGACTGGGAAGGCGCTCTCCACCCCATCACCGTGTTCATGCTCCTACAAATGCTACATAATGTAACGCTTATTGTGCAAGGATTTCTCGTCGGGTGGGTATAAATAGGAAAGCCACACTAAACCAGCTTTATTTCGATTGTTTTGTGACACTTTAGTTGCCACTGTGAGAAGATGCCGTCCCTGCAGGGCATTCAAGTGTCCTCCACCCACTGTAGACAGTTGTATTTATGAATGTAATTTGCAAATTGACCTAAATCTTGCACAGAACAAACAAGGTCAGCATGTCATTGTGCACAAGTTTCCTTACACTTTAGCACGAAACTAAATCCTCCAAGTGGGCTTAATCACCCCAGTTGAATGCTGTGTCTCGCTGATGCATGACACCATCATAAATGAAAGTGCTCTCTTTATAGGCCAAAATATTGCCACAAGCCATGAATTAAATCCTCCGCGATTACATCCTTCCCATGTTGATTTGCCTTTCATGCTCAAAGCATCAAATTATCCACCATTGAGGAGGTAACTTTTATTCCTTTCATTTATCATCAGTGAAGAGAGAATAATAGGACAATCCCATCCAACTAATTGGTATGCCTAACTGCCCTCTTCTGACTGTACAAAATTGCCAAAGCCATTAGAATGTCATAAGGCATGAAGAAAAGTGACTGGCAAAAATGGGAATGATGCAGATATACAAAACTAAGTCGCACCAAATCCATGTGATACCGAGAACTTTCCAATCCCTTTTTGGCAAGTAATTTTGTCCCAAATCCCAATTGGAAAGCCTCCTTGTCTTGTGGAGTCTCTCCCAACCACCAAAAGTTCAGATATATCTGCGAGATAGTCGACAAAGACGATGTCTCTGAAGAGACACTGCTGATGGGTTCCGTGAATTCTCTATTCTCTCAAGGTTTCGCCTCGCCTGCTTTATTTATAAGGACAAAATGAGACGAAACCACTTCAAATCCTTGCGCTGGAGATTTCACAAACTGACGTGTGTTTGTCATTAACAAAACTGTATGCACACTAGATCAAGATGAATTTGGGGCAGGATTTACTAATGCATACTAACTAAGAGGTCGTTGCAACTATAAATTCAATTGCAATTTATAATATTTGCGAAAGTGAACTCCCAACTTTGTCTTGCATCTCATTTCGTTCGAGTTTCTTCAACACTTTACTCTAGCGCCACCCGGCGGTTGCCAATGTAAGCTATGAAAATTGTAAAGTTACATAGCGAATTCCCAGCTTTTACGATCTGAAATACGAAATCTGCAAAGTTGCAACTACTACTAAAGGTCGCGGACAATACTCTTAATTCATGGCTTAATTTAGGTCTTCCCTGAGCTACAAATGGGGTACAATAGTAACTTCAATCTAGTGTGTTATCTACTCTGTTTTGCTACAGATTCAAATGTCGTCCCTATCAAAATGATGTGCACAGAAATAGATCTCACTTCCAGTTATCTACACAAAGATAGAATCATGTAGCCGAAGCAAAAATCATTGTGACTACGAAAAATGTCCCTAAAGCATTTTTCCACCTGAAAACTCTCATTCCACAGTCAGTTGAATATTTATCTGTTTCTCTTCGCAAATACAGTGGAGGAAATTGATTTTCCTCAGCGCCTAAAGGGTGGTCGTGTGTGGTATTTGTAAAATAATGGTAAAAATTCTGAATTGCGAGTGGCATGCAATGAAATATAGTGGGAAAGAGTGGATTCCAAATGCAGTCATGATGGCTTTTTGTGCCCCTTTTGCGTCCTCCTTGTGGCAAAAGAGGAGAATAGGAGCGAACGTGAATGCCAAAATTTATTAGCTGAATTCATTTTCGCTTATTGGAAATCTACAAAACGTGTTCCATATTTTCCCATCATTTTCTCCAAACCCCCATTTTTTCCATGCTCCCAAGATTTATGATGTCTTTTTTCTATGCTTCACCCCTGCATTCACTATTTTTCCCCAGATATATAACACTTTTTGAATTTATCTCCCAATATACTTACGTCCAGACAAATCTCTCGGAGTTCTGCGGGCGCATCAGTCCAATCCACACCGGTTCAGTCACATCGAGCTCCTTGAGGAAGGCTCGCGCAGCATCGAACTGGATCCCGTTGTCAACTGCGAATGATATAGCAAGACAAGAATGTCTATATTAAAAACTACGTGCGGTGATAAATTTCGCGTTGAGAGCGATTTCGTTTGGCTTTTTATTGAAAATCAATGCTGAGTAATAGAGTAATCCCGCATTCTCCCCGGGCAGAAGATTTCCATACACAAAGTTTCGTTTATTGCGCTTTGACGTTGGCGCTGGCACGCGGGGTGGCATTTCGGTAAACAGATTTGTGATCAAAACACACTTTCGTATGGCATCCATTATGGAGATAGAGTCGGAGGGAGAGGATTTCTAGCAATATATTGCGCATTCGGAGTATCGAAATGGGAATGCGGAGATGGAGAGCAAAAATCCTTTTAAGGACATGAAACACTCAGTATTCCGCTGCACTTGCATAATCACAGACAGATGAAATGCCATTCAATTCGCCTTAAATCTTTTTTCTGCACTCAAAGCCACCATTTCAGCTGAGGGGAAAAGTGGATTGACGAAGGTTGCAATTCGATGTGCGGGCTTTCCAATATTATTGCTAAAGCGAATGGAGAGAAATCAATGGAAGTGTCAATCACACGTAAACGCTCTATTTATTTATTCTGGAATATGACAAACAGTTGGCAAATGCAATTCACACTATCAAATTAGTGTGGAGAAAATATTTCTCCACTTGCAATAAATTGAAAAGCAAAATTGAGTTAATAAATTCTGTGATTCTTGGTAAATTCATCATCTGCGATGGTGGGTTTTAAAAATATATTTGACAGAATTATTCAAAGTGTCTTTTGAAATGGGGAAATGAAGAATGAAATGTGTAATTTATGCGAATTCATGCAGATGTATTGCTTACAGTATTAAAATTTCAGCGACATGTCGTCTAATTGAATTTCCATGCAGACAAGCCAATTTTGCGGAGACATTTTCACCTTTTCTGCTGGTGAAAAATCCATATATTAGAGAGGGGAGGATCATGCGGAGGGCATGCGAACATTCTCCGCATTTTTGTCCCGCAGTTTAATGCAGAGGGGCCGCTTTTATTAATTTCAAGGCAGGAAATGTTCGTCTTTATTATCAAGCCACGTCTCCGTGTGTGTATCATTAGGCACTTGGTGGCTGTGGAATATTTATCGTGAGAGAGAGAAAAAGCTTTAATTTACCACGCGTGTATAACCTCCGCTCCCACATCTTTTTCCTTCCTTTCAAATTTCTTCATCCGTAACTTTCAACAATTCGCATTGTGCGTAACAATAACGCATGAGGGCGCCCCACCCGCCAGCCTTCGCCTCCGTCGCTGTAAAATGTCATAAATTTTGATAGCTTTTCCACAAATAAATTCATCATGGATGACAGTCGATGATGAAAAAATAAATGTGCACGTGAAGTGTGTGCCAGTGTTGGCAAAGAGCAGGAAGAGAGAGAGAGAGAATGAACAATTTACAACACTGATTTTACTCTATTTTTCCAAGCCCATATATTCATATACGTGTTCCCACTACAATTCCACCCCCTTTCCTAGGGGAGGGCGGATAAAAAATGTGTAAAATAAATCGATAACAATGGGATTTCATTTCGGTATTCCAACCACTGTGGGAATCAACCTTGCCGTATATTCTAAATTGGCAACACAAAAAAATACTCTCTCACATGCCTTCCCTATTCCGGTACGCCTCCAGAAATACCTGCCGGATTCTGTTCCCTCCCAACAGCGGTGCTGAGTTTTATTGACTATGCTTTTGGATAAAAGTTGAATTGCCTCTATATGTCCTTTCACGCATCCTCGCGTCCTTTGTGCAAATACCACTTCAGAAATTATCTCAATCTAATATTATGTGCTGAGGAGCGAAGAAAATTTAATATTCTTTGTAAATTTCGATAAAGCGAAGGAGCCTCGCTTCTACCTTTTGGCTTTATTACATATATATCACCCAGTGTCCTTACTTGAAAGGTACAGAGAGTCGCCTTCACGCTGCAATATTGCACAAGGCACACAAAGGGATATATGATGAAATGCTGACAATCATCAGTCTTCGTACCTCTCAATGTGATTATATTGATTTATGCTGCACTCAAAATCAGAGAAACCAATAAAAACCCTCTTCTCCATTTCATTTCCTCGCCAAATGTGCAAGAAATGCTACTCTGCTGAGGAATCGTAGACGTTAATTTTCTCCCAGAAGACCCACAATTATTTTGCAGTAAAAGGAACTTTTCTTGGAAGATTTACGTGCAGAATTGTAAAGAATACGATTTGAAATCCTGGAACGAATCATTTTGTACTATAAAATTTATAAGCCATGGAATGGATTTTGATTATATGGCTTACTCTTCACTATTGGGTATATTTTGTCAAGACGGAAGAGATGCTAGAAATCAATTGACCTTTATTTCTTAGAAGCCATGTAAATTACCCTCGTCTTAAGTCCATGGAAAAGGCTTCTTTTCTCATTTCATACTTCAGGTGTGAAGTGTACATAGGAAACCAAGATGAACACCACAATTGATCGCAATTAAGTGTAGGAAATTACGAGAAGAATCTTGAGAAGTATTGAGTTGAGTAAGGTAAATATGTATTACAAGGTTGTGTAATCAGTCTCCTGATTGTGGGAGGAATTTAGTAGGTTTCAAGTAGGAACAAAACAGTTTCATAGATTAATCATTGTATCATTTTCCACATTATTCACTTAAATATAGAATGCGATAGAACAAAAATTTATTCCACTACCTCATGCCATTTCAATGGGAGGAAAGTGCTCTTTGTCAGCGTGAGAAGCCTCAAAGGATGCTCTTCATGGTGTGCTCTTTCCCCAGACAAGAGTCCTAAATAAGAGATCTACCGAGTCAGGATTCCTTCTGCCTCCTTAATCATATTTCCTCCCACTTGGCGTGTCTGTATAGAAAAAATTGACGTGATTTCCTTGTCACAAATTGCCTAGCTTCCCTAATACCACACTGTCAGATTTTCTATGCGCATCCAGGACCCTGTGGAGGGGGTGTTTTTGCTCTATTGCCGCCCATCCGGCTGCGGTGGCGGGAAAAATGAAGGAGAAAAAGTGTAAAAGTTTTCCCCAACATTTCCACCCATGGAAAAATTAAGGTTTCCATCAAGTTGACTAAGTGCGGTGTCGACGACTGATGCCATGAGAATGGGGTGACTATGCGAAGAAGTGAGTGTAATAAAAAGTGGAACCACAAAATACCCAATTTCCGTGGCATTTTTATATCAAATAGTACTGGTGGGAATATAATACAATAGAAAATTGAGTGCCACATGGGAGGACAGTCGCTCGGCCTGGGCTGTGCTGAGGAATCCCCAGTGTGTGGCCATCCTGGCCGACATTAAGTCATGGCGAGTGGCAACCCTTCATTTGTGAGTGGAGGAGAGTCAGCACAAATTTATACAGTGTGTGTCTGGGATGCGGAAGAGTGTCCTTTGCGGAACACGGGAACCCTTGGCTCTGCGTCGTGTTGGACGGAAGATAGGGCTTTATTGTGGGGCTTGGCGTTTCTCGATATGTGTGTCGACCGCAAGAAAGTGTGCTCTAATGGTCGAAAGATACGAATAAACATATTTCCTCAATATGACTTGTATAATTTCTCTCTTCCTTCGCCCGTGCTCTCCCCCAAACCCCCTGAAACGACGCCCACTTCGGGTCCTATTCATTGTGCGTGACGGTGGAGCGACGCCAAGAGGGGAACAAATGGCAGTGAATGGACGACGGTGGAAAAACGGCGTGCGTCCTGAAAATTTCACCAACTTCATTATTTCGCGATGCCACAATCTCGTTTTTGCCATCCACACCGCAACGATAAGAGCGTATCGTGTCATTTTGGCACATTTTAACTCCCCTAAATCTCTCCTCGTCCTTAATCAACTTACTTTATCCTCTGCTGCCGTTTTCGGGCTGTTGTCACCAGAAATGTTTGGGGTCAGTGGTTTTCTTTTCACACAATTACAGTATATATTATTCCGAGTTTTAACTTTTACACGCGTGAAGGGAAAAAGCCCCTTTGTCTGTTGCCACAATTTGTACTGAAACTCACTCACATTTAACTACAATAAACTTTAACCTCGTTCATATTTTCAAATATACCCCGACTGAATGGGTTCACCTCGGAAAAACACACATAACAGTTCCGGAATGTCTATGCATTAAAACAGGGTCATATTAACTGCCAAAACGTGAATCTACATACACCACATTTCTGTATTTTCACAGCTGCTGTGAATATTTAAAAATATGTGCATTTGAGAACCCTATTCAAAGCAAAAATACACAATTCATGGCATAAATTCGGCTGTGGGATTTGGTCATTTGGTTTTCCATTTGGCCTAATTAGTGCAATCGCTCACTGAACAGTAAATCCCATTTGTATGTAATTCTCCGAGACACGGTTCGATCTTCCAATGCGTGGGTAAAAATGTGGTTTGAGACATGCCGACTATTGTCATTCCAAGCACTCTCGAGCCACTTTGCAAGAGAACATCACCACAGCCATGCGAAAATGGGAAGAGCCGTAATTGATTGTGTGGCAGAATTTGAATTCCGATGATATTGATGTTCATTCCAATAATTTGCGGCATTCATCCTTAAATCACGAGAGCGAATGTACAAGTGAAACAATGAAGGTCCTGCTATGTATGTGTGTAAGAATAAATCGACACCATTCATACGTTGTTGCGCTTCAATTAAGTCAATTAGAATCGTTCAACAGAAATCGTGACTGTTGTATTAAATATCTACATATAACTCGAAGATATTCGCTTCGAGAGCCAAAGAAGTAAGGGAGAGTCCATGGCGTTTCACTTGGCGAAAGGCGAATCTATAAATCCACATTTCTTCCCCGAGTTATGTGCAAGAACACCCTTCCAATCCACCGTCATTTCATCTTAACTTTCGTGCTCGGCTCGATGGCCAATGGGGTGGCGATGGTGGCTAATCAGGATGGAGTTGATGGAGCTCCGGGCCCGAGGAGAGGGACGATTTCTGATAATAATAAGACAAAATGAGGT